TGAATAAAATGGAATGAATAATATTAGGGACACCAATTCAAATCTTAATTTTTATACATTAACTGATGTGGTATGTGAATTGCTACTTTATTATTAGTGGGTGTTTAAAATATTATCACGTCAATTAATAATAAAAGATTGTAGCTACTAATAAAAAAATGACAATTCACATTTCATATCAGTTGGTATATAAAAGTTAAAATTTGAGTTGGTGTTCCTAACATTACGTAAATGGAATACAAAACAAAAATAGCCAAAAGGAAAAGAAAATAAATGAACCACATTTGTTGTTTATTTTTTATTATGGGATGAACTACGAAAGGTCAATAAAAATAACCAATATAGTAAATTATTTTGTTAAAGAGTAAATGTGGACAAAATACCTTATTTGCCAAGATTTCAAGACAATGAGATTATTGATTAAACAGATTATTTACCTTATCGGCATTAAATCTTTAACCTAAACGTCTTTATATAATGATGATATGTATAGTTTTCACGCACTTGATAACAACCATTTTGAGTTTGTTTTCTTTTTTATTTTTATTTTTTTTATGTTTTGAAGTTTGAAGTTATACGATTCTCCACTATAATAATAATCAATCATGAGAAGGTGTGTAGCTCTATAAAGTATGCTTTGTATTTTCATCCAATATAACACAAGTTGAGAGACAATAACTAGAGATTCTATAGCTGAAAATGGGTATCAGAAAAGTAGTGATTATTCTCATGATTTTGGTAGGAACGACAATGCTTATACCAAAGGTAGTTGCAGGAATAGCAAACCCTAACTCTCCCTCACTCCGTCCAAGCCAACTTCTTTTTCCAGCTTCACTTGATAGATTTCAATTTAAAGAAATGAAATAGAACTTAAGATTCGCAATTTGCATGGCGAAATGCGCTAAAACGTACTGCCTTGAACACAAAAAAACAAATCCTCAATTGTTTGAATCGTGTGTAGGTCATATGTGCGCTGAATTTTATCGTAATAATACGTACTGTCATTTTATCATGATCCCCACAATTTCTTTAAAAAAATTCCAAATTGAATCACATGTACTTCTGAATTTGATATGGAATCTTTATTCTAGACAACTACAGATTAAAAATCATGCATTATATGATTAGTCATGTTTGTTCATGATCATGGTTTGCAAAGAAGCATATACTGTATTTCAAAAAGAAAAAAAAAATTAATTTACTTCTACAAAGTTCACAAGGTTGACAGTTGACACATATTGCGAAAATGGAATTTATTATAATATAATTATTTATCATGGCTATTAATATATCCATTCAGCTTTCTGTTTAAGACTATTAATATTCTGTATTTTATAGATATTACCGAACTAGACAAATATATTTCAATGTGGCACAGCCATAGCATGTGAAGATGTATCTACAGTGAAGTGGAATAAATACTTTACCAGTGGTGGTGTTGTTTCTTGCTCTGTTTCTCCTTAAATATATATTTTGTAAAACCCTTATAATAAGGGGCTTTTTTAAGGAAAGGACATTTGTTTTGTAATTTCTCTTAAATCTTATTTATATGTATATTATGCCTTTATTTCAATTTCGTGATTTTGATTTTATTGTCGAAAATGAAAATTGATTGGGAACAAAAGAAGCAAAATTTAAAAATTTCCTAACACAAAGTCATTATGTTGACATCTAACAAAGATTTGATATAATATTTGGTAAAAGGTTAAACAAATCATTAAGAAAACGTTTGGTTCATAGATTAAAATTATGAGATTAGAATCATTTTCGATTTACGTGTATTTTTTGTGAGAAAAAATACTGTAGCGAACTATAAACCATAATTCAAATCAGGGTACGAATCCCCTTACCAAATGTCACATAAGAAGAAGAATGGACGATAAGTCATTGAGTTAGGCCTAAAGTCTTCTTTTACGCTGCCACCTATGTGTTTATTAAGAAAACCTTTTTAACTTTTCCACCCCAAGTTCCTAAAAAAAAAAGGGTTTTTTTTAGCACAATTGCCCCCAAATTTGTCGTGGTTTAACAAATTACCACCCAAACGTTTAATTTTAACAAGAAAAAATTTCATTTTGGTATTATGTGTTACATCGAAATATGAGTTTGGTACCATCTGTTTTTAATAATTTCATGTTAGTATCTCGACCATTTAGAAAGTTTTTGTCATTTTGGTACCTAGGTCTAAGATTTTTTAAAAAGCTTTTTTTATATTTAATAATACAGATAATTTTATCTTTTCGTGTCCTAAAAAACTGCCATAAGGTATCAAAAGAATATTTTCTAAAAGGCAAGGTACCAGTACAAAATTAAAAACAAAAAGTACCAAACTCATATTTCAATATAACACAAAGTACTAATATGAAATTTTTTCTTTTAACAATCAACTCCCAAACTTGTAAAATTGTTACAATATGTCTCCTTTTACTAAATTTGTTTAAATTTTTTTATTAAATTTAAGAGATTAAAATTTAAGAAATTGAGATTTGTGTTGTATTTAAATTGAAATGTTAGAATTTTTTGTCAAATGTGCCTTTTAGACACTAATTTGACACAATTATCACCAAAAATGAACATATTGCAATAATTATACAAATTGAAAAGGCAACTTATCAAAATCAAAATTTAAGAGCAAATGTGTAAAATACACTTTAGAACCCCTTCACCCAAATCAATTACACGACTACCTCGAGATAATTCAGTTAGATACTCTTACAATTCAGCCAGTTAGACATTAGTTATATAGATATTCAATTGTTCCATAATTAAGATGTTAAGCGAGAAAAAAAAAAAAAAAAAAAAGACATCTTATCATACTCTTCACTGAAAATGAAAGACTTCCATAAACAACTAAAAGAGTAAAAGCTAAGGCTGAGACTCACCCTCAATTACGTTTATTCGATTATTTTATTGATCTACACCTGAAATTTTGAAGTACATTTGAACAAATACGTCAAACCTTAGTATATTACACCCCTATTTGTTTCACTAATTTAGTTCATTTCAGTTCAATTTAAACAGTTAATACAGTTTGAACTGGAGTTTAATAAACATGCAGTTTAAATTATATTTCTCGTTTGAATTGAATTAAACAACCCAACTTAGAGTTTAGCTCTCCTAATAAATTCAACCGTTCAAACCATTTTTAACAAACCATTTTTAACAGTAAAAAGTGTCCACTTTCTACTTTTCACACATACCAAACACAAATTCAAATTTTATTCCATGTTCAAATTAAAACTTTAACTACACATCTAAACGTCAATTCAAACTATAATTTAAACCACACAGTTTGAATTTTTCTGTTCAAATTAAAAAATTTAAACTAACAAACTAAACGGGACTATAACCGAAAAAGGAAAAACAAAAAATATAACTAATACAATACTTCAAACAGTTGTACACGTTAGAACCCTCGTGTTAAAGCTGGGTGGCAATTATATAATTTACACTGCATATTGCAAGTCATATTAAACACAATCAAAACAGATTCAACGGAAAGACTCGAATCAAGGAGAAAGATCTTGAAACCTAACAAGAGCGTAGATAGAACGGGATAAAGACTTGGTATAGGAAATGTAAACTCCAGCAAATTAAATATGAAGTCGAAAAAGTAACTAATAGCATAAGATGGTCAACGGATTCGATGTTTTGCAGATCTACAAGTCCTTCGCGATATTAAGAAGAGAAGAATGTCGAGCAAAAAATTCATACAAGGGGGATGAAGAATAGGAACTTCAAGAGCGAGAGTAAGTTTAAAGTTATCTAGGAAATAGGAATGCTACAAGGCCACAAACAGATGGTGGTTAGCAGTAAAAAAAAAAAACATGATAAAGTGGCCCTACTTGCGATGTTGAAGTTGACATTACAACAAATATTAGCTTTTATGGTTAGACATTTCCATCAAATTACCGTGGACGCACCAACAGGAAATCCTTTTAGCTTTGTTTAATTTAAAAAAAAAAAAAAGAAAAAAAAAAAAAAGAAAAAAAAGAGCCAATTGAATGAAGTGGTAGAGAGGCAGACAAAATAATCAGGATCACTATGTTAGAGTTATAGTAGATGGTATATATTTAGAAAGAACATGGTGAGAATACGAAGAAGAGGATGAAGAAGAGGTGTTATTTCTCTTATCTATCTATCATTTACTTTGGAAAGGGACTTTTACAGGCTAATAAACCTTCACATTTCTCAGTTAATTACGAATCAAACACAAGCTCTATTTCAACCAGCGCCAGAGCTGGCTACAAATAATCATTAGATTGAAGCAAGCTTCCACGTTAGTGAGGCACGTGCTTTATGAAGTTCAATCAAGCTAAGTTCAACTTCGACTTCCCCAGACTCAGCTTCACAAGACTTAACTTCCACAAGGTTCTTGCTCTAAAGACACTGTAATCAAATCTCAAACATAAAGTAAAAGTTCATTGAGGCTTTAGCCCTCATAGATTCGTGCATCACGCTCTAGTCTAACAAAAAAATTTTGTTTCGAGAATAAAAGCCTTATAAAGAAACATAAGGCTACACCATTAATTTGGATGATTCTTCACAGATATCCTGCCATGTAACCAACCCCTTGTAGAGACTTCTCTTTGCAAAAGCTTATGCTTCTCAGGTAATTAAACAAATAAAATAAAAACAAACAAACATCAGGTTATTACTTTCGAGTTCGACAATGATTTCACTTGTTCGTAGTAAATATTACTATTAGTACGGAATCTGACTACATTTGGGGCAACAAATATGTTCAGCAGAACTATTAGCATAAAACTAAAACATTTTAATCCAAAAAAAAAAGAGGGAAAAAACCAGCAGAGGAAAACATTCTACCTGTTCAGCAGAACTATTAGCAGAAAACTAAACATTTCAATTAAAAAAATAAGTTCCCAGCAGAGGAAAACAGGTTAATAACTACAAAAGCAATAAACAATAGATTAATGATTGCCCATTTTAGTATTAAAACATCTCATTCTGTTCTTTAACAAGAAACAAAAAATCCATCAAGAAGCAGCCAAATATTTCACTATTAGTATAGAGTTTGACTATATTGAACCATCAAATACGTTCAAAAAACAACTATTGATTAGCATACAAAGAACACTACACATTATATTAATCCACAAAAATAAAAAAAAATAAAAAAAACAACGAGGAAAAGAAGAAAGATTTGTACATGGAGGTAGGTAGGTAGGTATATGATAATGGGAGCTAAACGGCAGGAATGTTGGAGAAAGAGAAGCCTTTGTAACCCTTATACGCATAATACGCAATCCGAGTGTAATAGAATCCCGGTATGAACAAGATCGCCCCGAGTAACGCAAAAAACAGACCTAAATTCCAAAATCCCAAAACAAAAAAAAAAATCAGAAATCAAAATCAAAACCCTAAGAAAGAAAGAAATTCTTCAAAAAATCAAAACCCTAAGAAAGAAAGAAAGGGAAAATTTGAGGAAGATTTACCGTGAGCTCGGTCACCGCCGATGCGATTGACGGCCATGAAGAAGCCGAGGACGATGCCGAGAGCGCCGAAGACGAGGAGAGCGACGGCGAGGGCGATCTCCTTGACGGGAGGCTTGTTGTTGACGGTGTACGAGGTTCCCACCATTATGTCCTCGTCGCTGATCGAGAAGGCGTGGTCTACGTACGCCATTTTTGCTTCTTCTCTTCTTCTCTGCGATGGAAGCCACGAGAAGTGTTCGACGAAAGTCCTGTTAGGCTGAAGAATCTGAAATAAAGAAAGTGCCGTGCTTTTCACTCTTGGTTTTGGTTTTGTTTGGTGTCGAGGCTGAGCTTTTAGCTTTGGATGCTTAATTGTCAATATTGGAATACGAGATCTAGAGAGAGAGAGAGAGAGAGTTTCTCTCAGCTCACTTTAGTCGTTGATAGATTACATTGTTGGGTAATATTTAATTAAGAGAATCAATCCTAGCCGTCCAAAAGTTCCAACTTCCAATGCTACCAATGCTTTGGTTTGGGGGCTTAGAAGTTCTATTAATGGAGAAGAAAAATATTGACCAAGTCCAACTTATCAAAAAAAATAAAATAAAATAAAATAAAGACAAATATAAAATAAAATTAAAGTTGGAATAGAGAATAATTCTAGTCAAAATAAGAAGAAGGGAATTTTTACACCGGTAGCTATTGTTGTTTTCTTGTTGGATAAAATTTCTAACAGATACGTAATTGTAACATATTAAGTTATGTGTTAGTAAATTTTTAACATAAACACTCACAGATTAAATTGTTAAAATTTTAATTTAATAATTAAAACAACAGTGTCTATCTATAGTAATAAAGAACATTTTTAATTATAAAATTTTTAAGAGAAGTAAAAGAAATAATAAATTTTGAAAAAAAAAAAAAAGGCATTATGCTTTGGGTATGTAACGCGAGCCCATAGTTTCAAAACATATTCTTTTCGTGATCGATCGTGGTAAGATGTAAATGTGCAAATTAATATATACTAGAGAGAAATATTAGTATCACTTTTATTATTATTCTCTGTATCTATTTTTTAATATGTAAATTTTAATAATATGATATATTATTATTTAAATAAAAAATGAGATAGTAAAGTTTACATATTAAACAGTAAATATAAAATATGAGAAAAAGAGTGATGTTAACATTTCTCATTATGGAGTATTGTACAAGGTATTGCACTTTAATCTCTGATCAGTAGTTAAAAAAACAAGTGATCATCACCATCACTAGTTATACCTAGCATTTTTTGATGCGATTTGGTAGGCTGGGCATAAAAGCCATACTGAAGTGCATACATAGATAGAAGCATGAGCTCATACTAACAAGGGGTCCTTAGTGCCCGTTCAAGTAGTTCAGTGATGATTGTGAACCTGACGGAAGATCATAAATTGTCTTAGCATCTTAAAAATCCTTTATCTGAACTTTATGCAATTTTTATTTAGAAAACTCGTCCCTAAATCCTTTTCAAAACAAAAACGCCGGTTGTTAACAGGGCGCCCAGCCACCAGCCACCTCTCTTCCGTTGGGGTGGGCCCCACTAACCTCATGAAGTAGCATTGGACCTACCCATGAGAGGGAACGGAGCTGTGCAGACTCACAATGCCTAATAGCTCCGCACTCTGTTTTTAAAAAATCACAATCCAATCATAACCCAGCAGGATTACACATGCTTTCCCACATATCATAACCTTTCACATGCTTTCCCGCGTATCATAACCTTTATCATGATGTTAATAATCTCTAAGTGAACGTTTAGTTCATAAATTTAGAATTATAATTCATAATTATTCTCATTTTACGTATTTTTTTTTTAAAAAAAGACACTATAAAGAACCATAAATTATGATTCAAAATCATAGACGACTACAGAAAATAAACATCCCCTGAATACTTGTGAATTCTTATTTTCTGCTCATGCATAGTTCATAATTGAGGGTATAGGTCTTTTCCTTCTGCTCCTTCCACTGCAACTTTTTAGCATAGTTTTCATAAGCTATAATAATCAAGACCACATATAATATATATACACACACAAGAAACCAAAACGCATGTGCATTCTTCAACCATAGATAGAGATGCGCAAAAAACAAAAAAAAAACAAAAAACAAAAACAACAAAACAAAACAATTATTGACAGGGTAAAGAAAAACTACCAAAAGAATTCCTCAGATCAAATTCTCACCTAAAGACAAAACTTAACTAAAGACATGAGTTTACTCCAATCAACATTTTGAATTCATTTGTGAACAACTAAAAAAAATAACAAATAACAGAACAAAAACTTAAGGGACCCAAATCCAACAAGAATGTAGCACAGAAAATGGTAGATTTTTTTAGAGTATATAAGACAGCCATGAACCAACGCTCGTAGAACTCTTAGTCCATTAAATGTTACACATTTTCTACGTCGAAAGTGTTTTCAACTTCTTCAACCGTTTGACGGCCTTCTTCCTCGCCTTCTTCACAGAAACAGCTCTCATCCTCACCTTCTTAGGTTGGGTAGGGATCTCCCTTATCGGACCTGGAGGCACCCCTTTCTTAAGGGCACTTCCTCGTGGAGTAGCCGAGGGAGGCAACCTCAAACTTTGTGGGGGTAAAGGGCTATGAGGTTTCCAAACCAGATTATTTTTCATCGAAAATTTGACCTTCTTCGCACTCTTCTCCCCCTCACTCTTCCCACTTATCGTGCCCCCGTTGGCATCTTCCTCTTGAGGATGGTTCTTCCCATTCATAGCTTTTGCCCTTTTTCTTTTCTTCAGATTCGTCGCACTACTCTTAGGTGAATCAGCATCAAACCCAGCTTCAGCTGCAATCTTCTCGAATTGCAGCTGGAGGTTTGCTATCACAGACTCATTAAGCAGCACTAAATCCTCACCACCAATGTCCTCATTCATTAATTCCTCGCCATTTGCAGCAACTTCATTCTCGTTGTTCTCATTCTTCTTCTTGTTCTTCTTCTTCTTTTTGTTCTTTTTCCCGCCGCACTTTTTCAAAGTCACCACCCCAGCAATATCCCCAGCAACATCATCTTCGGCCTCAGCCGGTTCTGAAACATCACCCGCTGCCATTTCCTCAGCAACAATAGGAACCAACTGCGGCACTTCGTCTTCGACATTCTCAACAACATCTGGGATCGAAATGTCCACCCCCAAAGCAGCAAAATCCTTTTCCAACTTCTCAAACTCCTGGTGCAAACCAAACAACACCTTCCTATTCCCCTGGACGCACTCCGGGGAAGAACCCAACTCGAAAAACTTCGCCGAGAACCCCATTGTCAACGCCACTGATCCAAGCAGCAAAACATCACTACCTGAATCGACGACAACAACCTCCTCCCCCGACTTCTTTGCCTCCAAAAGCTCCCTCCCTTTCTTGGCCAACATGTCAAACACATTGGACTTAATCTTCCCCACCAAAACTTTATCATTCACCTTCACCATAACCGAAACAAAACTATCAAACAGAACACCAAGAACCTCCATTCTAACAGGAAGAAAAGGCCTCAACTCCTCAGCATAAACCGAAACAATGTGGTAATTAACACCATTCCCATTAAACTTATCATCAGCAAAGAAAACCCATTTCTCCAAAACCTCAACAAAGTTGCTCAAAAGCTCCAAATCCCAGTTCTTATTCTTCAACAAAGCAAAGAAATTATGCAAAAACCTTCGAATCAAAAGGTAGAACTTGTCTAACCTGAGAACATCGATGCCCGTCCACTCGCGGCGCATGGTGAGAAGGAAAACAGAGAAGTAATGGAGCGAGAGGGAAGGATTAAGATCATGGAGAACATGAGAGAGAACATCGGCGAGGTGGGACTGGGCGGGGAATTTGTCGGCGTGCCATAGACAGTAGAAAAGGCCTTTCCAGAGCTTCTTCATGAGGTCGTCGGAGACTTGGGTTTGGGAAGGAAGCCATGAATTCAGAAGGAGAGAGACGGTTTTGTCACGGCTGGGTTTGTTGGAGGAAGCCAGCTGCTTTATCAGAGACAGACCCACTTCGGATCTATCGTCTTCCATGGAAACCCAAATGTTAGAATTGTATTTTGGTTTGGTTTTGAGGGAACAGAGAGGAAATTGTGAAATGGGTTTTGGGAACGAAGGTCTGTGGAGCCCTAGAACATGGGTTGGGTGTGAGAAAAGAGCGGTGAAAGGGAAAGAGAATCCCTCGAGTGCGATGAAACCCTAATAAGAAGGGGATGCGTGTGTGTTTGGGACGGGGAAGAAACGCAACGGGGGAGAGGAGGGTGGGCGAGTATCTTTTGCAATTGAGTCCCTATTTCATTTTTCACTTTTTTCACTTTTGTTGGTTGTTCTGAAGAAATTGCACTACTACCCCACTTTCCTTTTAGATATTTTTAGAGTTGGCTTTTTGTACGGATATCCCTTAAAATGTTCAAATTCAGCAATCTGGTCCTTATTCTTTTTTTCTTAGTAATTGACCCCTTCAATTTTTAAATCTTTGCACTTAAGCCCCAAACAAAACTGAGGCCTTTTTTTGACGATTCTGATCATATGACGTGCATGTGAACATTTATAGAGAGTAATGAAGGTCATTTCTCATCTTATTTGTTCGGTTCAGAGTCATATATGGGATATTTGTTTCAAGGGTTCGTCCTTGGTTTTGAATCATGGTTCTTGATTCTCTACAGTGTTTTTCTCTCACAAAAAAATTTGAATTCTAAAAATTAGAATCATGAATCATAGTTCTGAACTGATTAACCAAACGTTTCTCTAATGTATCTGAATACAATCAGTTGTGATAAACAACTCTTACATACGCTTCATGTGATCAGAATCGTCAAAAAAGCAAACGTTATTTTTTATTGGACCTTAATTACAAAAATTTTTAAGTTAAAAGGGTCAATTGTCAAGAAAAAATAAGGACTAAGTTGCTAAATTTAAAAAGTTCAGGAAATATCTGTACAAAAAAGTATTTATAGCTTTTATAGATTTTATAGACCTTAAAAACTAAAAGGGAAGTCTAGAAAAATGACTAACTGTGAGACGTTTTAAAAAGTCAAAAATTAAAGTAGGATTGAGGGTAAACCTAATGATCATTTTCGTGATTAACCCTAGTTTTAAGGTTATTGACATAGTTAGTCCCTAAACTTTAAGCATACTGACCTTTTAGTTCTTAAAGTTTTTTGACTTTGGCATATTAGTTCTTGAATTTTTTATTTTTGATGATTTTTATCCCTGACAATAAAATTAACAAATAAGTTTTTAAATTTAACCTAAATAATCATATTCTTATTGCATAATAACTGAAAATTTTACATAAATAGTTAGAGTAAATGCAAAATGTTTTAGTTTTCAACAGGTTTTAATAGAAATAAAGAGAAAATTGTGAATATAACGCAAATTCTTTTGTAAAATTTTAGGTTATCATGCGATGGAAATAAATTATATTTGTTAAATTTCATAAACCATTAGTCAATTTTACTGTTAGTGACCAAAACTATAAAAAAAGTTTAGGGACTATTATGCTCAAAATTAAAAGTTCAGTGACTAAAATGTCACTATGCTCAACATTTAGAGACTAAGCTTTGGAATCATTCTCACCCGTATCCCCTAAACTTTGAGGTCATTAGTAATTTGCAGCCCAAACTTTAAAACTCCCATTTGACGTCCTAACTTTTGAACTATTGCCATATAACCGCCTTTGTTAGAAATTCTATTATACAAAGACATAAGAAAAAGAGATAGTGCAGTCATTTGATCTATCTATTTAGATTTTCTGTTAATAACAATTGGATAAGACCACACGAGCACACTTAGTTCTCTTTTTTCGTTCTAATTTTAGCAAAAATTCTAACAAAAGGGGAATTCAAAATTTAAGTTGTAAATATGAGTTTGTAACAATTGGACCACAATTACAAAGTTTTAAATTTAGAGTCTCATTTATCAAAACTGAAACTTCTAATAAAAAAATAAACAAACTAAACATCGATAATTTCAAGAGCATTAGTGCACAATACCAGTAATCTGATGACATGAAGGTAAAATATGTTCAAATTAATAGCTGGTTAATCTTATGAGTACCTCATTTAACTTTGGTATCAATTCATGGACAAGAATGCCACAACTTTTGTACAAATTCTTTTGACACTTTTCATTGGTTGGTAAATTAGTCATGAACTTTTTAATTTTGACTGATTACAATCCTAATTGTCATTTATCAATTGACGCCTTAAAGGAATGCATTGCCAAAAATGAAAAAAATTAAGATTCTAAATGTCAAAATTAAAAGTTGGTCATAAATGGCATTGCTTGGAAGCAAGAATCCAGATTTCAAACTTACTGTAGACTTCACCAGATTTAGAACTTTTTAAGACCTAATTTATTTCACCGATTTAAATTTTAAATTTTAAATTTTTATAATTAAAAACTCTCAAAAAATATCATATTTAACTTTTTCTGTTATAATTAAAACTCTAAAAAAATATCACATTTTAACTTAAATTAAAAACTCAATTTTATAAAGTGGACGAGGCTTAAGTTGTGCTCCATGAATTTCCTTCTCTAGAAGGTGTGATTACATGTCAAGCGAATGTAAGAAGTTATTAGTGGTATACTCAGCTAAGCATCCGTTGTTTTGACGTCCAACGAGGGTGCCTCTAAAGGCACACGTGGAAGTCCTCCATAGGCATAGCAGATAATGGCTTCGGAGGCATGTGCAGGAGCCCTCCTGTGGCAAGTCTGACATTAATAAAACTTTCGTTTATTAGATTTTGGGCTTATAAAAGCATATGTAAAGTATTCTTGGGCATCCAAATTCTTCATTACTATGACCCATCAAACCAATGAGATTTAAAACTGAACCGAATTAAAGAATAAATCAGCTCGTTTAGTTATTTATGATCCATCAAATCATAATTCATTTGAACATTTCTTGAGTTTACAAAACAATATTTGTATAGGTTTATTGTTAATTGTATATAGTGCACGACTGATATGATGAATTACGTCATTTGACAATAGTAGCTTTTTTTTTTTAACGGTCACAAAAATAGTTTTCACGTATATTTTAAAGTTATTTTTTTCGTAATACAAATACTATAAAAGTAATTTTCATAATTACCCCCAACGAGTTTTGTCAAAACTTTTATGGCATTGAAAAATTTTAATTAAACGCATAAACACACTTTTTTTTTTTTTCATATTATTACCATTACAAGACCACTATTTTACCAATCCAACTGAACAGGAAACACACAGGTGCGTTTAGTTCGGGGGAATGGAAAGAAATGACGTTGTATTCTGATGTTTGGTTGGCTTTTAATAGCCATTCCATGTGAGTGATTTTTCCACCGCTTTAGTGGAATTGTCATTACCACATGAGATGGGAGGAATGGCAATTCCTTTAAGGAAAATAGTAAAAAATAAATCAATATAAAAAGTTTAAGAAAATATATAGGTCAATTTTTAGTTATAAAAATTAATATGTCATAACTTATTAAGTTATAGTTCATAACCAAATAAGTTATGGATAAACTTATCAAGTTATAATTTATAACCAGATAAGTTATGAATAATTATGGACAATAACTTGTCAAGTTATGATTCATAATCAGATAAATTATAGATAAAAACAATAATTTAATATATTTATTAACTTATATAAAATATTAACATATTAATTTTAATTCATGTCAAGTTTTGACTTATTTCTCTCTTTCTCCCATCATTTAGTTGATTAATTGTTTTTCCACGATTAACCTTCCCACATTTCGTCCTAAAAAAACACCTTCGTTGATTTTCTTGCCCAAAGGTCGTGGGCTCAACTTCTCACCCAACTGTCGGCGCTCATTTCGTCGTCACTGGCAAAGCTCTCCCCGTTCTCCTCCTACCCACATTAGTCTGAGCTCTATCGTTGTTCCGACGAGTCTTCCTTGCCCAGGCAACCTTCCTCCGCCCTCACTGCCGCATCGAAAAAGCCACCAGCCTTCTGCTTCTGACGGCATCTGTTTCTCCTGCCGCCTGAGCGCCGAGCTCGTCGCTTCTCCCTCCTCTGCTGCTAATCTCCCAGATCGGCCAGATCTGGCAGCTTGTCGCTTGTCGAATGTCACCATCGCCATCTTGCTTTAAAATGTAGAGATAGAGTGGGTCTGAGATGTTTATCTTCTGTAATGGGTATAAGATGTTTTTTGTACATACGATTGAATTGGGTCAGTGATGAGATCGTTGGCACTTTGATGTCTTTCTTTTTTTATTAATTAATAATTTTAAGTGAAAGAAAAAACTTATCTGTTTGGACATTTGAATGCTGAAAAAACGTTTTGATTTAAAACCAAAAAAATGTTCTCCAAAAATAGAAAACCGAAAAAGATGGATAAATTAACAGTAGTTGCATAAAAACATATTAAAGATAGGGGTCCAAACAAAAATAGATACACTCCTTTTCATGGTATTCATAAAATTTTAACTGAACACAAGAATGTTATTTCTTTTCTATTCTATTACTATTATCATTCTCATTCTCATTATTATTACTATTCTCATTCTCATTACTATTATCATTCTCTCACTATAGCTAAACGCACCATAAGTGATAACTATTTTGTTTTTAATGAAACTGAGATTCAGTGGACCAATTGTAGGCCTTAGTCCAACCTGGATAAGTTTCACTTTAGGATTAAGGAAAATTTCATATGACAAAATTGTTGAACTTACACTTTAAGTGTGCATGATTTAAAATTTTACCTTATACTTTTAATTAATATATTTTTTAATTAATATAATTATTTGATTAAAAATGATATTAATTAAGAATAAGGAGTACAAATTTATATTTATGCACGTTAAAAGGTGTTTGTCTTCTCTTCTCATTTCATATTAGTACTTTGTGTTTTAACATAATCATTTTTTAATACCTTCTTTTATGAAGTCTTTTTTGATACATAAAATGTCAAATTTATTATTCTCATTTATTAACTAAAAATTAATAAATTTAAAACAAACTCTGGAAAAAATTTTAAACCTTTAAAAAAAAAGACCTCTCTATCTTTCTCCTCTATTTGCAACAGACTCTTAGTCTAGAGAAACAAAGGGCTTGTTCTTTTGGGTGTTTTTGAGTTATGTAATTTGAGTGTAGTTTTTGAGTTGAGTTTAAGTTGTAATTTGAGTTTGTGTTTGATTGTGTTAACTTGAGTTATAGTTTGAGATTAAACTTTTTTTGAGTTTGTGTTTGTTTGAACTAATACTTGAGTTGTGAATAGTATTCTGAAATTAATTTTTTTATTCCTTTCATTAAATTGATTTTATGTAATTTAATCTG